AAGCACTCCGACGAAATAAGCATCTAGGCTTTCTTGTAAATATTTACAAAGGTCTTTTTTCTCTTTTACCCTTCTTCCCCTCCCCCCTTTCTTTCTTGTTTATACACGTAAATACTTATATTTAATTATATTATTTTATTACAATTTCTTTTTATCAAAATTGCCACTTTTATACTTATCAACTATTTAATTATTAAATAACAAAGTAATATATAAATTTAACTGTTTTTAAACAAAATGATAATGCTTTATTAATAATTTTTTTGATAATTGCTACTTTCCTGTATCAATAATGCAATTAACAAATTCGTCCTTCTCATTTTTCCACATTAACGAACTAATTTAATTTAATTATATTTATCTGTTACGTAAGACTATTTCTTATCTTTTGATCCCCTCACTTCAGTAATACATTGCCGTAATATTTTCTTTTCTCATGCGCTAATTTACCATAAAAATATGACTTACGAAGATATGATGTTTACAAAATAAATTCTGTTTGATTATATTAAATAATAGCAAAACTTAAAAGCAAACTTTAATATGGAATATAATTAATAATTCTCAAAATTAACAATAATAATAAGAAGAATTAATAATTCATGTCAATTAAATGCAAATTTTTTAAATTATTAAATCGCTGATTCATCCGTGATTGGGTCGAAAAATAAATTTTTAAGTAAACAATCGGTGTCTATGTATATATATATATATATATATATGTCGTGTGTGTTTATAATTTTGTATATTTGAATTTGTTTGTTTTTCTGCGGATGAGATAAAAGAAAAAAACTGACTATATATTTACTTAATAACTGTTATGATTGTTTAATCCTCATATAAAGTATTTTATTACGACTTCGAACTAAGGTAGACGATTTTTGTTTATTTTGAGACATGTTGCGATGCCTATCGAATGTGTTAAATAGCAATTCTATTAAGACTATTGCGACATCTAACTATTACTTTTGATTGCACATTTTGACGATGAAAAGTTGTTTGGCATTCTTTGTTGAAAACAATCTTGCATAAATCTCATCATTATCGAAATAACATATTTGAGCATAGGTAAACGTATAGTTATAAAGAAATTTGGTGTATAAAGTAATCCTGTATTTTATATTTGACATTATTTAATATTATATATATATATATATATATATATATATATATATATATATATAATATTATTTGATGCAATTATTTATTAAATGTCATTCAATTACGTGCAATTGTTATTAATATTCTTTAGTAAAAATATTTTAGATGTTAACATTGTATTAAATAAAAAAAATATATACGCTCTTTAATAAAAATAAACAAGGATAATATATAAGTTTCTTTTCTTACTATTTATTCATGAGTTATCGGTGAACTTACATTATGCATGTAAAAAATTTTTAAAAAGAAACTCGCTTATTTAATGATATTTAAAAAATTTCAAATTTAGTTTACCGTACGATCGCATCTTACGTAAAAAATGGCTTTATAGCGCCCCCTCGTCGGTAATATATCATAAGATATTATAGATCCCCCTTTTTCTCTTATCGGACTTTATTAACGAACGTAAATAATGGATGCCCCTTAATTATCATTCATTTTTTTATGAATAATTTATGCATTTTTAAATATTCTATAGATATAAAAAGACATTCTAATTCACGGGCAAAAAAATTCAACGTGCTTAATAAATAAACAATGACTTATACCGTGTTTAGCTACGGATTTGAAGGAATATTTAATAAAGAAATAAAAATTAACTTTAGAGGCCTGGAAACAGAAAAGTACTCGTTTCCATCACCACTAAAATTACTTTTGCACTTGAGAAGTCGAAAAGATTTTGATTAAGCAACTATTTTACCGGATACGTCATTTTGTGTGTGTGTGTGTGTGTGTGTGTGTGTGTGTGTATTGTTGTTGTTGTTGTTGTTGTTGTTGTTGTTATTGTTGTTATGTCACTCGTTCACACATACTTCTAGTCATCCACTCACTTTTTAACCTCTTCGTGCATAAATTCGTGCATAAATGCACAAATTTTTATTCCTTCCTTCGCTTACGCAACTAAGCTCCTCTGCACTCTATCCGCAATCAAAATAACACGCCTGATAAGATTCCGAAATAATAGTTGAAAAAAATAAATAAATAAATAAATAAATAAATAACACAATACAAACACATGCGAGCTTATGCAGCACAACGAGGTAATATCGCATACATAATACAAAACGAAACTAAAGGAGACAATATCCTTTTGTTTTTTTGTTTATCTGCTCTTAGAATACGCAAGGGTTATCGAGTTCGACGGTAAGTTCGTTCGTTGATCGTTGATTGGGAGTTTCGCAAGGCCCAGAGAAGATAAGTTTATTATTCCAAGAATCTGCCAACAGTGCCGAGAGACGCAGCTCGACTTTTTCCTTTTACGTATTACGATGGCACGCTTTTAAACATCCTTGCTCGAATAATCGCCGATGAAGTCATCGGTGTTCAATTTAGTTGTTCCACATCATTATCGATGTTCTGTGTCCATTTTGTATTATTGCAAAAATTAAAAATTTGTACGCAATGTTATTCTATAATCTTTAGAGCGTTTAATACTTTTAACCGTGAATTATGTAAATTTTTAAATATTAATACTAGTAAATATGAATTTTGCAAGTATAAAAATGCAAAATAAATAAAATTAAATTTTTATATAAACATCGTTATATATTCGCCACTTTGAATATTCCACGATAATATCTGTGCTAATATAACTTTTTGCATAATAAATGTTAAGGAATATTAATTTTGTTTCGAGCGGTGCCTTGATGAAAATGACTGTGAATAGTGTTTTTCACGTTAATATCTTATTGCAAATTTAACATTAAAGCAATCTCTGATGTAGTTTTGTTCGAGTTATGTACATTAAATATTAATTAATTGTCAAATTAATATTAAGTGTAATTCTGTATAATGTATCCCTGTATTAAATATAATAAGATAAATCAAATGTGTATAAGTGCAAAAATAAAAGTATAATAATAGATAAAGAGCTGTAATTGAGTCAGAATAAATAAATGTATTAAATTAAAAAGATTCGAGACTCTTATTTTGTCTTGTAATTCAAAGTATTCATCATCGCCTAGTACTAATTGTTTATAGTTCATTTTCTTACTGCATATTTGATTTTCCTTTCCAAATCAATGTTTAATACGCTCCATCATTTCTAGAAGCATTTGTTGTTGTTGTTGTTGTTGTTGTTGTTGTTGTTGTTTTCTCTCTCTCTAATTGTTTATAGTTAAAAAATCATTGTCTACGTATTGTTAAGAGCTATTTACTTGCATGCTGCCAAAAATATTCGCAAGAAATTATTATAAGTTCGGCTAAATAATAATAGTTTCCTGCTCCCTCATTGCATAATGTCATCCACGTAGCGCACACTACAATTCATATAATTTAGTTAAGCACGAACCTTCGAAAGCCCCAATCCCACTGTTTTTAATAAACGCACAGATACACACTTGTGAAATTAGTATCGTTAAGCATCAGCTTCGCACTTGACTGCCAATGCTAATTAAGACTTTGCAAATTTTTACGTAGGATTATCCACCAGTGAACCACAAAACAAAAGCAAAACCCACCGGTAGGGTTATATCGACGGATGCTAATCACAGCGACGGCAAAACGGACACAATCGGATCCACGAAGCCCACCGCCGAAAAAAATAACCACGATGGGAATTCAGTCAATAGGAATTCTACAATTACGTAAGTGTCTGCCAAGTACGTGCGCTCATCTACATCAGCGCCTACTTCAATTTACTCCTGTGTGATTATTTTTAAGACTTCGATCAATCCGCCCGTTTACGTTGATTTGTAATGCGCATAAAAGTCAGGCTGCCTGTTGATATTGTGCACGTAACGACGCTCCGCACCTATTCCATCAACTTCAAGTACTCGTGCTTAAAAATAATGTCTTGCAGCTCTCTAGATTAGCGCTGCAGACGGTTTTTTTTTTTTTTTTTTTTTTGTTTCTTTTATAATTTTCCTGGGCGAACGAACATCGGCAAGTCATTGGAAAATGATTGGAAATTAATCGTATGGGACACACGCGAAGCCATACAAAATACCATACGATGTTCAATTATACTGTAATTACTTAAGCTAATAACGTTATGGCATGTAATTTGTAATATGACTAACTTTCAATAGATTCTAAGCATTTTTATTTCGAGCCCATGAAGATATCGATTTCTTTTTCTTAAACGAACTCCTATGATTTTACACGCATTCTATAGATAAGAATTTTTATCAAATCTCAAGTCAATCGCAGTATTAATATTTGATTAATAAAAGAATTAATTCCTATCGTATAGATCAAAGTTGAAATTGTAAGAAATATTTGTTCGGTATCGTTATATTCTTCGTAGTGACAAGTATAGCGATAAAGTTCCTATGAAAGCTTCGAATAATTATCCTAAACATCGATCTTAATTGATTACAATAATGTATTTCTGTAAATTTTATGAAAATTAACAAATGTCTAATACTTATATATTTATCTCTTTACATATTTACTCCTATCGCCATTAATAAAAAAAATGTATTAAGTGTGTTTAAAAATGCTATCAAACTACATGACAAACATCGTGATAAGGCATTATTTGCCACAAAGTAAAATAAACATTACGTCTAGACGTCGTGAAGATGTATCATTTCGTAGTAAACATTTTACTTTTAACGCTCGCGCAAATTATATACTTTGAAATAACGACATCTTGAAGCAAATTTTTGTCACCACATATATTAAAATTGTTAATAATATAATGGTGAGATAAAAATATACGCATTATATGTACAGAGAGCGTAAGAATAAATGGTAGCAATAAAATAACTTTCAATAATTAACTATTCACATTTATTTTTAATTAATATCAATTTAATATATATTAAAACGAGTGATACGTATCTCAAAAATATAAGGAATAAAGAGCAAATTATTTACAAATGAATATTACAAAGTTATTGTTTCAGATTCAATATTGTATGTACATTATTTTAAATCATATAAGAACTAAGATATCGCTATTTTAGGGAAAAAATGGTAGGGAGAAATTTTTTAAAATTTTTATAAAATTTCATACACATTTTGAATACTTATTAATAGACGTGATAAGAGTAAATCCTCTTCACGAAACTTTATTTAATCAAAATATTTTTATTACCGACTTTATGCGTATTAAAACCGGGACAATAGTATTTGCGTACTTGGTATTGTAAAAATTTATTATAAAATACTTCTAAAAATTGCTTGTTTACATAGCTTTCATGAATTCAGATATACACATTATGAATCACAATTTGTATTAATAAAAATAAAAATATCTCCACGAGACCAATTCACATTCAAATTAATCGCAAAAATTACAACAAGCCAACAACGTCGTGCAAATTACCTTAATTTCCGCTTAATAAATAAAGTTTTGCAAATTCAAGCATAGACAAGCTGGTAATGTCTCTTGCATGCATTTGTTGCATGCGGATTGAATAGTTAACGAAGCTAGAATTAACCGATGAATATCGTCGATGAACCAAAAAAAAAAAAAAAATTATTCTCATTAGGTTGCTCGACGTTGCCTAATGGCTCTCTTCGTTTACAGGAATGGCACTAATAATGTTAAACAGGAGACGAATCCCTTCGAAGAGGAGGAGTGGGACGAAGACGCAGCAGAGCCGTTAGTCGACAATGGTGAGCCAGGAGTTCCAGTTCGGGCGCTTTACGACTACGAAGGAGCGGAAGCGGATGAACTTAGTTTCAAACAAGGTTTGTATTCATCCATCGATCATTAAACAAAACCGTAAAATAAAAGTCAGTCTATGAGTATTGAAATTCAGTGATAATTAGTCCAATTGTTACGGCAATGCGAACATTATTAAAAGTCGATAGATTTCTCAATTGATCAATTCACTTTCAAAAGGCTAACAACAGCAGCCATGATTAAAGATTGTAATACTAATATCGATTACTACTATAGCAACTTTTTTTGGTTTATCGCTAACGTCATTCGCTCCTTAATATAATATCGATTATTTTATGTGACTTTACGAGTTGATTAATTAACTGTCGCATTATCGTAAATAATGTTATTTTGAAGAATAAGATAATTGGAATAAAATTTATATTAGATAATCGATGAATGTAATGGAAATGTAATGGGAAATTAACGACAAGTGAAAATGCACGATGTTCGATCGATAAAGCATAAAATTTGTTGTTTAAATCACTAAATCATGATACGTGAGAAAAAAAGGACAGAGATGCGCATAGCGGTGTTAAAGTAGCAATATAGCCAACAAAATAGTGTAAATAGTTGTAATGTTTGCATTAAATAATTTTATGATTAAATGAACGTAATGGTGACTATAATGAAATCGTAGATATATTGTTGAAGTAATGACGAGAGAAGAAATTTTGATACAAAAATATAATGATAAGTAAACTCTGTAAAATACAAAATAGTGAACTACAAATTTAAGGAAACACACACCCACGAAACGAGTACACAAATCGAGATGAAACTTATCCACCCGAACTGGTGACTTCCTTCAAACAGTTAGAGATCACATGGCTATGTAAAGTAGGTGAAGGTAATATGGAGTAGGTAATATAATCTACTAAAAAATATGAGCACGAATCGAGGTTTAGCTGTGCTACTACTTTCTTCGAGATAATGCTGATTTCATGTTAAACATTTCGAAAAATCATTTTATTATTATTTTTTTTTCTTACATAATTTTGCCCGGTACTGACGTAAGTTCGTCTAGATTTGCCACGAGTGTATTGTTTTGTTTGTTTGATGTGTTATTCGTTTCATTAATCATTAGTCTTTTTTCAAGGTTAAATTTTTAGATTATTTGTTGTCTGTCGATCAAGATTTTAACGCTCATTTTACGTAGGATCTCATTTGCAATTTTATATTTATTCATCGGTAATGTTTAAAAGCAATTTTATGTACGTTAGATTTATTGGTTGTCCTATTACGAATTAATTTCTTCTAGATCGAGTTGCTTTACGCATAATATATACATATTATTTATCATTTTACGCAGGTAGTTATTTGCCAGATTAGTTACTATGTAGGCTACACTATCTCAACATATACGTTTGATTTTATATTATTTGTGAAATTTATTAGTTTCGGGAAAGGTATGCAAATACATTGACTTTTAATTATTAAATAGACTAGAGTTTCACACTACTATTTACATTATTACATTCAAATGAAAATAGTTTATAACGTTGGGGATAATTGTTTAAAAAAAAAAAAAGAAAAAAAAACACATTTCTCAAGAAGCCTGATTATTTGAAATTTCAAATAAATTTACCTAATTACAAATCATATGTAATAAATAAATATCTTTATAAAATTAACTGTATGTATTTGATTATTTGAGTATGATAATTGTCAAGAAATATTAGACGTAACTGTACTTTACATTAATATTAAATATATTGATTTAGACTTTCAATAATAAAATTATCTTTATTAGGTGACGTTTTTGAGAAGCTGGAGGATAAAGACGAGCAGGGCTGGTGCAAAGGTAGGAAAGATGGAAGAGTGGGTCTGTATCCGGCAAACTACGTGGATCTCGTTTCTGCGTAAATCCAACACTGTTATGCCAATAACAAAAAAGAGATTGAAGGGGAAATAAAATACTTCGCATATAAACGAATTATATTCAAGCCAAATCAGCAACGGAAGAAAGAAAGAGCACTTATCCATTGTAATCCTGTGCGTCATACGAATTTCACGCGGAGAGAAAAAATAAAATGATAAAATGCAAACACACTCGACACACTCACGTACATACACGCAATATAAAAATGTGTAAAATCGAGAAACTTTTGCCCAAAGTTCCCCTTTATTCTTGTGTAGCGTGTTATCATATCGAGATTACTTAAAAGATTCGTCGTACCCTGCGGACGATAAATAAATGAATGATAAAAAGTAAATAAACGCGATTTTTTTCCTTAGGTAGTTTACATCATAGTGAGAAATCTGTCGCTAATATTTACATGTAGTTGGTTATTAGAACAGAAACAGTTCGAGGGAGACAAAATAAGAGAAACGTGTACAGTCAGAGCAGTAAGAGAAAATGAAAGGGGGCGAGAGAGCTTTTTTTACATTTTAATTTTTTTTTTCTTCTTTCGTAATCAAGATGATTATTATTATTATAATTACTGCTATTATTAGTTGAACGATGAATACTTGACGAAAAGCTTCCTTTCCCTCTTCCCGAATGAGAGATTTGCGAGTATATATCCTTATTTCGAGAGTACGAGAGCGAGATTTGTGTATTTAATTTATTGTCGCGATTTAAGGGCGACCCAAAGTCGAATTAAAAACGTATATAAAAATATTCTGAATGGTGTCATTGTACATAATAGTATTAAATGCATAGCTATACATTGTATGTATATATATATATATATATATATATATACACACACACAAATACACATACACGCACACCCTCGATACATTAATACATACATACAGACATTATCATGTTATTTGATAAAATATATTATAACAAAATAAATAACTATAATACAAATAACGAAAATGAATTACACACGAAGTTGCATATGGAAGCATAAGGTGATGTACACGTCGACATATTTTACCAAATCAATATTCAGTAATATAAGACTCGTTACATAAACTGGGACCTAAAAATAGTGAAGCAAAAATGAAGAAAAAAAAATGAAAAATCGAAGGTAAATCAGAAACAAGTTTTTAAATGGATTGATTAGTCTTATTGTTGACAAACGACAGGGAGTACTTTTGTAATGTGAAGCAATTATTCAGCAGTGTATTACGTTAGTGAATTATTTGAAATTTTTCTTTAATTTTTATACGACGTCGAAGCGTACTTATGCATTACGTATGAAAATCTACGTATTAAATGACAGCATACTTTTTCAAGTGTAAATAGTTTCCTTTTTATGTTTATATATATATATATATATATATATATATATATATATGCGTGAGGGCGATCGAATTGCCAAAGTGAGACTAAAGAAAATAACCCTTTAGGCATGAATGACAAAGAAAAAAATAAGAGTCGTTGATTGATCGAATTTACGCAAAAAAATCTTGTATTGTTTTCTTTCCTTTACTTTCTTACCTCTTTATTGTTATTTTAGTATTTTCCGGACAAAGTTACACAGTCTATTTTTGTTTCTATTTCTTTCAATCGTTTGTAGCGTAAAGTCGAAGATTCTATAATTTTGTTAAATCCTTAGGAGCCTGCATTTAATTTAGGAAAGTCTTTGAATTAAGAATATAGGGCAAAAGGTACTCCCTCCTTGATAATCAAGTCAAGGTTTGTCCATAACTGTACAATTATCGACACTAAAAAGGTTAACACGGAAGAACCTTAATTCGGAGCAAAAATGTTCGATATAATGTTTACAAAAATAAAATACGTCGAATTTGATAAGCATTAAATGTTATTGTTTCTCCTGTTTCTAATTCGATAAAGAAAAAAATAATGTAAGAGAAATTAAAGTTTGCAAAAGGAAGAGCGAAATGAGAAAAAATTGGCGCGATACTACTGTACACAATATTTTATGTAAATAAACGTAGAGCGAATAGACACTTCGATTCACGTGTAAATGCGCTAGTTTTGGACTGATTTTTTCTAATTCTCATTCTCTGAGCAAACAATTTTTTCCTCAACAATTTCGTTGATAAGAGATTTGAAAAATTGTTACGTAGTAAATCTAGTTTCTGTGTAAATTTATTATTAGTTGATATTATGCATATGTAATAAACCATCCTTGACAAATTGTTGATGTTTTTATTATTTGAATTTCGAAATGAATTCGGCGCAAAAAAAAAAATTGAATTCTTAAATTTCAAATTCTTTATATTTATACATAAGCACACCTTACATCAATACCTTACATTATACTATTTATATTGTTGTCGGGAAAGTATTATATTATCACTAATTTAAGATATAATTTTTATTTTTTTTTTCATAATTTTTTCTTTTTATAGTAAAAGTAGGTTTTAACATTTTTTTTACATTATAATGTAGTAAAGAAACTTCTTATGTCTTTTAAAGACATAGTATTTACAATGAGAAAATTTTCGAGTATGAAAATGTTCTCGAAAATGGCCACTACATAATGTAAACGAATGAAAAGTAAATAATTGATTTGCGTTATTATATTAAATTATACATTTCATATACCATTAATAATAAAACTATTATTTTTTGTCTAATGACTTCAAGAAATCTATCCCCAGCATTTTCTGTGAATGAAAAGGATTTAATTAACGCTGTTTATAAATGATAAAAATAAGTTCATAAGTAACAGATGACATTTAAACAGAATTTTCTTACAAATTGAACATTTTTAAACCTCTTTCTAATAACTTTGCACCTCATTATTAAAGGGCCATTCGACTGCGTAACAGTAGTAATTAAAACGACAAAATCCAATCTCAATGCCCAAATAAATGAAAGGATTGTTGTATTAACTACATGTTCGTTTTAAAATATAAGAATTTACAATCAATCAATTTCTTAAAGAGAAATAAATACAAAAAATATATCATTTGTACGTTAGGTAAGAAGTTTCAGAAAATAATGCATCTCCAGGAAATTCAATGAGTGTAAATTCTAATTATCGATAGGTGTCCTTTTCTTAAAACATTTATAGTATTTATTATACACAAGAAATGATATGACCGTCGAGAAATTAATGATGTTAATGACGACAGGCGGAACAAGAGACCATCAAAATATATTGCTAATAAATTACAAACAATAAAATTTTTTACATATTAGTAACTAGTTTTTCACATGAAAACATATTGCGCTCATCATCTCAAAATTGATGATAAATATCGAATCTATTGTACACATTCTTAGCGTATATGCAATACGTTTGTGCTCTCATGGCCCTTTAATCTTAATTTAACAATATGTTAAATAACATTTTTAGATAATGTTTATTAAATTTATTCGAATATAAATGCCAATGTGCTACTATGCGCATAAGGCTTACATTTCAAAATAATCTTAATAAATATATACTTTTTTTTTTATCTTTATTTGGCTGATTTGCAGGACCATTGACCTTCGAAGGGAAACCAAGAGTTAGCAAATAAACAATAAAGTCGAAAGAAACATGTTAATGACGAGGGGCCGCTAACAAAACCGTTTACCCAGTACATAACATTTCCAATTCAATTGAAAGAATAAAGTACAGAAAATAAGTCGACTTGAAAAGAGAGGGAGTGAGAGAGAGAGAGAGAGAGAGAGAGAGTGAAGAATCTTTGACAATGCCTCGTAAACAATGACCGCGTACGTTTTCGAGGTCGTAGGCCAGTGAGTCACGAGTAAAACATTCCGAGTGAATAAAAAAGCACAGCACCTAATTAATTATTCTTGGCAGAGTTTGATAAAACTCATCAGAGAAAGTCTTCTTGCGAGTTCGTGGCTACATTTCACAAGTGCGTCGACACGTGTTCCTGTAGATCCCTAATACTCGAGAAGGGCTTTTCGCATAATATGCATACGTGCACATTGCCGTTGTGCACGTCGAGATGATCCGAGAGCTCGTCCGCCGTGTCGAAAACCTCGTCGCAGATGGTACAAACGTGGGCCTCCTGTTCGACGTCCTGCTTCTCGTACTCTGCAAGCATCGCGTCCTCTTCCTCGTGGAGTGGTAAGTGCGTTGCGAGGAGGAGCGATGAGGCGAACGACTCGGAGCATCGCTCGCATCGAAACACCGCCCTCTTCTGCTTGTCCCGTCTCGATTCCATGCTTATCAGCAGGTTGATTTTGTCGTCGCTATCCTCGTGAAGATGGCTGCCAACGTGCATCTCCAGTGATTCCTCCGTCTGGAACTTCTCGCCGCAGAAAGCGCACTGGAAGCCCTTTTCGTTGCCTTCGTCGCTCACCTCCTCGCAATGCATCTGCAGGTGATCTTTCATTTGCTCCTCGTCAACGAAGATCTTGTCGCAGACGAAGCACGAATAGCCTTGAGGCTCCTTACACGACAGCGCTATCTCCAGTTCCTCGTCCGGTACTGGTTCCGCTATCTGAGCATTATAAATTACATTTAATTGACATTCGATAGTTTGATAAGAAATACCACTGTACGTCCAGTGATCAGTAGAGCTTATACTTTATATATTCATCGACCAGTAATATTGCCACAATTGTTTACCATTACAATCGTTATTGCTACATTATTCAATAGTTAAAATTCACCGTACAACGAATAAAATAAATTAATATTATATGTAAAGAAAAAAAAAACAAAAAACAAAAAAAAAAGCAAAGCCAACAATTAACTGCTTATTTCCTTATTATCGATTGATTAATCTCGATCCAATTAAAATATCAGATCTAGCTAAATCCGAACGGATTTTAATGAATCCAATAGTCTGGTCGGTTCCCCTCAATTACCTTATGTACCTCGTTGTTTTCCTGCACCACGACGACACGCTGCACCTCTTTGAGCGTCTTGCCGCTCTTGCTCGCGGATGCTTTGTTCGCAGCCTCCTGCCTGATCTTGTACTGGGCGTGGGTCTCGAGATGGGCCTCCAGCAGGTGCTCGACCCCGAAAGTGCACTCGCACAGATTGCAGTTATACTTGACCGAATTGCAGACGTGGCTCTTAACGTGCCTGGCCTCGACTATCGCTTGGCAGCGTTTGCATCTCATTAGCTTGGGTTTGGACTTGGTCGTGGGCTCGGAGCCCGGCCTACCCGAGCCCGCGTCCACTTTATGATTCTTCACATGGGCCTCGGCCTCCTCCTTCGAGAACAACTCCTTGCCGCAGATGCCGCATATGTGCCGCTGGCGCTTGAGCGGCTTCGGCGTGCTACTTACAATGGAGGGTTTCGTCGCCTTGCTCGTGGCGGTCATCTTCTTCACCGGAGGCATGCACTGCAAAAAGAACCAAGGTTTATAAATTTATATCGCAACTCTGGTCGATGCTACGTGCTCAAATCTGATCTCGGTCCTCGCCAATTCATCCAGGCAACATCGGAATACAGGATGGAAGAGAGTCGCACGGACTTATTCATGGAATTATGCTTACATTAACAATGGGAGTTCGATTGACGAGCGACGGCAGGGGCGTTAAGGTTGTATTGCCAACGGACAACGGTTTCGTCGTTATCAGCGGCACGGCTATCGGTTTGTTGTTGGGCAACGTCTCGGCGACAATGGTGAGCGGAATATCGACGATCGTCGGTGACGTACACGTTCCATCATCTATCACTATCGATCCGTCCTCCCCGAGAGCCTCGAGAACGAACTGCGTGATCTTGGGACTGGTCTGCGCCTTAGTCGGCCCAAGTTTGGCGTTTATCCTCTTAGTCTTCTTGTCTGTAGATTCCTCGTCCGACGGAATCACATTCATCGTCAGAGCGAAGTCGTCGTATTTTTTTGGCAAGACGTGACGTCGCTTGCCGAGGGTCCGACTGAGGGGGCCGACGAGGCCCCGCTGCCTCTTTACGGCCTCGAGTAGATGGAGGTTACTTACGTGGTACATCCGGCACAAGAGCCCGAGATTCATCCGGGTGAGGATAACGCGCGGCTGGAAGATCGGTGAGCGTTCGGCCGCCTTTGCGAATTCGTGCGAGATCTTCTGATGATTCGAGCACATTGCCGGCGTAAGGACCTCCGAATCGTAGTTATTGCGCAGCACCTTTTCGATTATCGATTTCAGCTGGTACTCCAGCGTCTCGTACGAGTTCTTGAACTTCATTGGCTTTATTTCAAGATTGTGAAGATCGGGGTTATCCTCGAAGAGCCGCTTGCGCACGTCCTCGTTTACGAAATGGGCGAGCTCCAATTGGACTCGCTGGAGCGCTTCTATCTCCAAACCTTCGATCTCAATTTTTAGGCACTTTTGGACATCGCTGCGGAAGAAAAGCACGAGATCATGGATTATTTTTAAGCAATCGATCGACTAAATTATAATTAATTTACAACTCTGCTCCTTCTTTTTTCCCTTAGTGAATCAGACAAGCGAGACTATTCTTTTGCCTTTAATGTAAATTATCTTTCTCTAATGTAATCTCTGTAATTTAATACATAACATAAATAAATGCATATTCTATTTATTACGACGAAGGCCATCTCTTCTTTTCGTACATATACACGATGTCTTAAAAGTCAAACAAATATTATTTCCTTTATACACTTAATAAAACAGAAAACTACGATTTCATCATACGATCATTTTTATACAAAGAACTAACATATTTATGCCTTAGTGGTTTTATCGGAATGTATCTGTAATTAATTCACGTAAATATAAATTTTACAACAATTCAATTCTTTCGCGTGAAAATACAAATTGCTCACAAAACTCGTTAAATTATAGTTTAAAAATAATGATGTCTCTTTTATACTCGATATTTAATTAAATAAATAAATATTGGAATTATTATATCGATTTATCTTACGAGGGTTTTATGTTGCTATTTTGTTTAATAAATGAATTATCGTCATTTGGGTTAACCCTTTGAAGCTTAATAGCATTCATTAGGTCAATTTTTCTGCCATCCTGATTAGTGGCGTCGATACTAATTCCATTCGTTTTCAAAGATATGTCACTCTTGGAACTTGAAGCGTTCGGTAGATCTAGAACAGTCGTAATAACATAAGTAGCATTTCCCACTACCACTTCAGATGTCACCAGCTGAGGCTTAAAGTCGATATCAATATCCTGTGAAAGATCAATATTCATCGAACAGTCCGACAGATTTACACTATCCAAGTCTTTTTGTACGTCCTTTTCAAATTCAGTTTCTTCTATTTTTTTAGTATCTATAAATTTTATTTCCGTATCACTTATATCATTCTTCTCCATAATCACCTCATTCTCCATCTCTTTTTCTTTAATTTCAATTTTCACATTTTCCTGTAATGAAAAGATGGTACAGTTCATACAATTAGGACACAAGTCATAATAGCACTTTAAAAATATCATAATATTACTACAAAATATAATTTCTAATGCTCCTTTAACAATAACTCTTAATTAGTTTTGTTTTCATACCCAATAATGTAAACAAGACTCTATTATATTAAAAAATGTTAATTAAATGTAAGAACTGATTCGGATGCAGCATTATTAATTGGCAAGTGCAATAAACCACTCGAATTTAATACAATTGATTTTACTAAATATATAACATAAGAAGCTAACCAATTTTTTCTCTTCGAAAACTGGCGTGTCATCTATATTTATAACTTCAATTATTTGATCATCGACATTTGTTTTCCTTGTTCTCATCGTTCTTTCATCATTAATAGCATCTTCCTGATTAATCTTATATTTATCCGCCACGTTCATTTCTAGATTCTTCAAAGCCTTATCAATTTTTTTTTGCTTATCAGGATCCTTGTCATTCGTTTTAGCCCGTGCTTTTTGCACAGGTGACAAATGCGGGCCAGTGTCGGAGTCACTCTCAGAGGGAACAGATCCTGTTGCGGCTATGAGTGCATTCTTCCGTTCAACCCATCGTTTGGTCGAAGCTTCTCGTTCAATTTTTTTGGGACGCCCAACTTTCCGCTTTACTGTGGCAGTTGTACTTATTTGATCAATCGTTTTACTTACAAAGGACATGTTACTGTCGTTACTAATTAATAGCGAGTCACTGTTAATGTCCTCGACAAATTTTGCCAGTGCTATCGATACAGGATCTGTTGGAATTAATTTATCAGTTTCTTTTTGACTTATTTCTAACATGGGTACTGGTTCAGGTTCAGAAATATTAAGTTTCAGTCGTTTCTGAAAAAAAGATTACCAATACATGAAAACAAAAACAAAAGCTTTGAATTATAACAAGATTTGAATTTACTTACTATTCAAAGGTTTAAAAATATTAATAATACTAATACTATTACTATATTACTATATAACCTAATGCTAATACAGTCAATGAATAAATACAGATCATGTTTTACTCTTTTTTCAATAACTTTAAAATTATTTTGGTAAAATGTCAAAACATATTTAATATTGTGTCGCATTAAAATTTAATAAATTATTTAGAACCTAAAATTATTTACAAGTATGTATGCATATAATTATGTAAATGATAATTATCAAATGACATCCACAAAATGGATAATTAAAATCATGATATAAAATAAGGGCAATAACTTGAATCAACTATATAATTACTTTCAACTATATTTAGTTACTTATTTATTCATAACGTTAAAGTCATATTTACGTATTAATTAATGGAGAAAATTTTTTATAGAACATTACCTTATTATCCTCTGAGTATAAATCGTCAGCAGTGTTTTCGTATTTTATTATCTTGGATATATGTGATTCAGATATCTGAAAATAATAATACTTAAATTATAAAATATACGATATAAATCATAAGTAGTGTAAATTAGAAACATAAGAAAAGAAAGTACCTACCGATTGATCGATTACTTTGAAGTGCGTAACAATGGTTTTATTGGTTTTTAAAAATTGTGATTTGAATTGACTCCACATTTCTAGCTTATAAAGGCACACATAACAGATGCTTTTAGGATAGTTTGGTTTATCCGATACCTAAAAATAAATAGAAAATGAATTAATGGATCTGGAAAAAATTAATTCACAAAGAAATTCCTTATATAATAATGATAAGTAATAGAATGGAAAGGTTGAGTAGGAATAACAATTAAGTAGATATTTTTAGTAATTTGTCTAAAGTAATGCTGATATAAATAACTGACAAAAATAATTTCAAATTTACAATTGTCTAATAAATACAGAATGAAAAATAAGTATTGTCAAAGGTAAGACGGTAAGCGGCATAAAAAAAAAGCAAAAGTTAAAGTACCGAATATAATTAATAGGTAAATGTTGTGAAAATTTCGATGAATAATTAACCTTAAAAATTATTTTTGTCATAGAGAATCGTGGAAATGCTTCAGCAATAAATAAGGAGTCTAATGGATAAGATCTACGCATATTTACAAAATAATTAGACATTAGGGGAGAAAATATCGCTTACATAATAATAATATAAATGGACAAGGAGTAGATCAGAATATATTTGAAATGATTTGCATGACAGAAAACAATCGTTCTAAGGACAATCGTTAGTTTCAAAATTTTAAAAATCTTTCGATACAAAGGCTTGTCGGATGAAATGAAAGCGAGCACGATTACACAGACTCGCAATTAATTGAAACAAGCTCATGATATTTTCGTATAAATCTTGTATACTCATATTAAACGTAACCTATAAAGAAAAAAAAATCGGAAAGAAAGGCGAAACTGGGATCAAAATGCGCCGTAAGAGCAGCTCCGTCGTATAGACGCACGTAGGTGAGCGTACCTTGATCGCGGAACATTTCTCCAAGTCCTCAAGCTTCGGGCGAATCCAGTCGGTGAACAATTGACTCATGCAAGCATCGCGCACTAAGCAAAGGCGACAGCGATCGCTCAGATCCGACAGCTTGCGCTTCCTCGGCATGATTCTTATCCCGTTGCTGCAGCCAGTCTCCCAACCACCACCGGATGAATGATCAGCGTCCTATCTGGCCGCATATATAAGCGACATCAATAGCTGGGGACAACCTCCCGTTGCACCGCCGCCTCGGCAAACTACTTATTAAATTCGAATGAACACACCAGAATTTCTAGGTTATAAAACACTGAACGCGCACAAAGTACAGGCGAAAGAGGAACGATTACGTCGCTGCTGCCGCCACGGCTTGGCGCTTCGGCTGAAATCGCGCGCTATTAGGCTCGCTGCACGCCATGCCGAGGAGGATTCCGATTCCAGCTTGGCGAATGTAGCGCCAACGGAGATTTCGCCCCAAGAATCTCGCAGCCACAAGGCAACAAACTTGACAATTATGCACGTCGTGGTCGCGTACGCGTCCGTAGTGCGATTTGCTGCACTAAATTGAACGTTTGTTTGCTTGTTCGGCTTCTTGCGTGCGTGCGTGCGTGCGCAACGCGCAGCAGTCAATATTTATAGTTGGCAATATAGTTTTCAAGCGCTTTGAAACGTCGCAAGAGCGATTAGTTACATTGACGTTTGATAAAAATCCCGATTTCAAGTCCAATTGAGCTTGGCATTGTGGTTTTCCTACCGGTTCGTTAAATTTTGCCGCAATCTTAATTGCCAAGCTATTTGCAAAAAGCGCTTGGCGAACGGCCTTGCGAGATGAAAATCGCGATAAGTTCGCGCGAATTTACGACGGGACTGTGAGGTCGGGAATACCGGAGCCAGAACCTATGAGATTTTGTCCCCGGACACGCTCTCGCTTTTGATCGAGCGATAATAGCTTTTATGTCTGCTTCTTTCATTACTTCCTTGCAGCGACGTGCTATTAATGATTAATGACAAGTATAGACGATTCAAAAGTCTGGATTCCTAACTCGTTTCCCGCTTTAATCCGTAATATTCGCTTGACATTTAAACATCGCATTGTTCAGATGTAATATAATGCGACAGAATTGATTTGCCTAGGCGACTGTGAAGAAGGCACTGTCATATTTCCAATAAGTTCGATCCACTTTATAAAAATATTGTTTAAGTCGGATAATTCGTGTATAAATAAAAAGTTTTTCGAACAATTAGACAATTAGGATAATATACATTGCTATTACAATTTTATATCATACGGAATTTATGTCATTGAAATTTCCTGCATTTTCTTTCGCTTCTTTCGCTCAAACGTATTCATACGTATTGGATCATTGTCTCATCTCTCACAATTTAAATAGTCGAGCTTTTATCTAGACACAACTGTAGTTTTCCCTTAAAAAAAAAAAAAAAAAAAAAAAATAAAAAAAAATATATTAATTTCATGAATTAGAGTACTATTGCTAACATTAAAAAAAAATAAGAATTTGCGGTCCATTATTTAAAATTAAAACGAGAATTTTCTAGGGACATTTAAAAGAAATAAACAGTATGATTTTCACTTAGGAGTCGTAGAAACGAAATGGTTTAGAAGTCATTAAACGGTCTATAATTTCATTCAATTTGAAATTCTATTTAATATTCAAATATCACATAGTATTACGCTATATGATATATTAGAATATTAATTATATAACTCTTTAATATCATTGGAAAAACATTTATTATGCAATACGTTAATTGCAATTCATTAGCACCAATCATATAAAACACAAGATAATAGATGTATGAAAATAAAATCATTCAATGTACATTTTATTAATTGAAAATAAATGCTTTATTCATCACAATGCTTCTATATGCTTTTATATAACCTACAATTAAACTCTTCGACTCTTATATAATAGATATTTACAATTTTATTAATAAGTATAAACTATAAACAATAGTACAAAATAGTTAATATTATGTATGAACTATATATTAATACGAAGTTTATTAGATTTTTATTTTTTCTTAACTATGAATTCAAAGACATATTCTGCCAGATTCAATTTTCATCAAGAGCTTTAATATAACGATAAAATCATTATTATATTTTTATTAATAATTATTCCAATATACTTTTAAAGATATATTCTTTTTATTAACTTATATCCCTAAATGCGCACGCATTGAACAAACCAATATTCGATAAATATCGTCAAAAAATTTTTATATTTAATAATCAACGTGATAAAAAAATATTATATCATATATTATAATAATATAACACGTGATATACAACTACTGCCCAATAATTCATTTAATCAAAACAATCATTAAATAATTCTTTATTAAACGAACACTTGATATTATTTTCTTATTTAAATATTTTGGATAATCAAAAATTGAATTTTAAGTGATTATAAAGCCGAATCGAAGATCGTAAATATGGCATTGCTCTGGTTAATGAATTCTTCATAATTTTAATTAACAAAACAACGTTCCTTAATCAATCAGTCATTTTCTTTATGTTATATACATTTACTTGTCACAATCACGAATCATTAATACTTTATAATTCGTAATAATTTCATTTTTATTTTACAGCCGTCTTAAAAAACAGGAATGAGACTGCGGTGCGCATCGGCAAGATCATCGTCGAGCGTAAGCAATACCATAAAAGAGAAAAACATGGCGAGAGCTGAAAGGAAGTGCCAAATATCGTGATAGTCATAGAAATTCAACATAAATGTCGAGCAGGGCCTATTGTGGGCACGCGATTGGGCCGGTGTTTGTGCCCACGATATTGTTTTCGAGATAAAAAAGTATAGTGCACCACCCCAAGTGACGAATGAGAGGATGATATATACCAAAGGCTGGAGCATGATTTTTTCTCTATGGCATAGCTGAAATATTATAAGGATATTTTGAATTACCATGCTGTGTGCTTGCTAATAGGCTTAAAGCTAATAGGATTTTCTAAAGCTTAGGCAATATAATTATCTAAATCAGCGCTTAATACTTTGTGATGTATCATTGTATAATTTGCAATCATTTAGTTACTTTTCTTTTGTGCTTGGCAAAATTTTAACTTTAACATACAATTTTGCACAATTTTTAATTCAACAATATGTTTTTAATATTTTGATTCTTTAAGTAGATAGTAATTCATTGCAAAAATTTGTTAATTAAATTTGTGAATTACCAATTAATGGATTCACTTTCTTAATACAAGAAATCGAAAATTGGGCAGTAAATGCATTTAATAAAGCAGTTGATTTATAGCTAATAGGAATTGACAAATGATGACAAATGCGATACAATGGTGCTCATTTAACATTTTAAAAGGATTATTTTCAAGATAAACGCTAATGTGGCTTTATAGATTTGATTCAAATATAAAAATTATTCTATATGTAAATTTGTAAATAGATAATGTATTACTATAAGAGTAAAAATAGCTACAAATTAAATATCTATGACTTTGAAACAAAATTTGTAAATTAAAACATTTAAGCAATATGATAATTTTCTTATATTTAAATGCTATCGAAAATATCATAAGAATAAAATGTACTCACTTTCATTATAATGTAGAAAAATGTGTAGAGAAGAAGATTAGACATAAGAACCAGAAGTAAATAAGTAGCAAAATCTTGTTTATGATATATGTTACCATAAACTGTTAGTCCAAGATTACAAAGATTACCAATAATTAATAACAATAATCGCCTCCAATAAAGTGGTTGAACTAGATAACTTATTCCTGAACGTGCATCATGTTTCATCGTCTTAAAACAAAGAATAATATTTATCTTTATAAACATTTTACTACATTTAGGTATCGTTTTTCTCACATATATATATATATATATATATATATATATATATATATATATATACATATTTATTATCAATCCACAAGAATTACCATCATCATTCGACGAAATACACCCCCATTAAATTTCCAACGTCCCATATAATAAATTTGTGCGCTTAAAGCTAAACATACTAAGAGATGGATAATTGTAAAAATTACCCAGAAATATAATCGACCATCAAGAACACCAATTAAAGCTAATAATATAGTAATTGCTAAAACACCAAAAGTAACAGATGCTTGAGCATTAATATCTGGATGGCGATTTTGATATATCTTCACCATACATAGTACTGAAATAATGTACATAAAGCTTGTATCTAAAAATATGAAAAATTTAAATATATTTATGTAAAATTTTTCTATATACAAGTATTAAAAAATAATTAACAATTAAAATTTTTCTTTAGATGTATATTAATTATAAATACATCATGTATTGAAGAATTTGTTAATATAGCTTATATTTATTATATAAGATTTTAACAAATATTACATACCAAATTGAAAGTTACTATGATTTGGACATAAATGATAGCTTCCAGATAATATGCCTTCCATCATCAATGCAAAACCCATTGCGTAAAAGAGTCCATAATGTTGTGGGATTCCAAACCCTCTATCATTGTGATATAAACTATCATCGGATTTTTCTCTCATATAAACAATGAAGATAAATAATAAACCGAACAAAATATACCCTAAGTTTGAAAATACATGATTGAAATCTGATAAAAAAAATAACGGATGAGAACAAAGAAAATTATAATAACAAAGATCTTGATTTCCAGTAACATGGAGAACGTTCTGGTACGTAATGACTAACTGTATAACTGGAGCTGTATAAAAAATGGCTATAGTTATAAGATAATATACATAAAGTAGAGACTTTTTACGGAGGATTTTTGGTTCTTTTCTAGCTAAATCACACACAGAAAGTACAAGTTTTGTACGTATGATTTCCTTATCAGACAGTGCATCGTGCATTAAATCAATATCATCTTCATCTATGGAAGAATCATCGTCCAGGTATAAAATATTTTGCTTATATTCAATCTAAGAAAAAATTGTTATTTATTAATTTTATAAAAAAATATATATTAATTGATTAAATTTTTATCTATTGCTTAACAAAAATTAAATCACATAGATTTTTACATCCTAATAATAATATAATGATAATGATATAATAATATATATCCTCAGATCATTTTACTAAGAGCATATAGTACAGTAGGAGAATATTAAAATATTTTTTATTTATAATTATATAATTATAATCATAAAAATAATAAATATTAACAAAACATGAATGTAAAAACAATACATGATATATAATAAATATGTATATTATACTAAATATTTACAATCAATACTAATTATAAATTATAAATAAATGAAGGTATAATGTTTTACCTCTTGAAAACCTGAAGTATGGGGCTGATTCGATGTATTTATACTTTGTTGATTAAAATCAAATTGATCATGAATGGATTGCTCTCTTAATATTCTAGAGTGATAAAACTTATAAACAACTATACCAGTAATATAAATTACACAAAATGCCACTATAACTGATATTGTTGTAAATGATGCATTAAGATAATCACGTTTTGTAATGCTGTAATCAATTCTTAGCTCAACTAATTTTCTACGATTAGGTACAGTGATAGAATTTTCTGAACAATCCAAATCATCAGCATTTACAACAAAAACTATGAAAAAACCATTTGGATACTCATCTGTCTAAAATAAAAAATACTTAAAGTTGCTATCAATATTAATATTAATTATTAAATTAAATCAGATATAAAAAAAAAAATTATACCGGTACTGTAATTCCTCCTTGAGACAAGACAGTTTGCCAATAGCCTGCAAGCTGAATATTTCTTTCCAAATCAAATACGGGACACTGAAACAGGCAATTTCTGAGTTAAAATTCATTATTTTATTTTTGCAGCTTTAAAGAATTTGCTTTACCGATATGTTTTGAATCGAAAATGTCATACAAACTTCAGAATCAGACTTAACACTAATAAGCACAGAAGAACTTGTATTTGTGGAATCAAAATTGTAGCCATAATAAACTGGTTCCGATGGAGTAATGTTAAATATTCTTGATTCTCCAGATCTTATATTTAATTAATTTATTATAATTCAGTTTATTGATTAAAAATAGAAGTTTCAAAAAATGATCATTTTTCATATTATATTAGATACATATATATAAATATATATATATATATATATATATATATATATATATATATATATATATATATATATTCAATTATATGAAATCATAAAACTTACTTTATATAAAAATTTTGTAGTGGATATAATTCAAGATAAAATGTAATATTGTTCAAACTAATTGTTGATATAGTTATTGTAACATAATCATCCATTTGTTCGAATCTTATTGTTTTATAATATTTAGATGGACATAGAGTTCTACTTGTTAAATTATATGGAATAGGATCCACTGAGTGCTTATTTTGTACCAAAAGTGGAATTTCCCATGAAAGAATTCCCTTTTTTTGTTGAGCAACAACGGATAAAGGGTAATTAGATATCGCATCCTTACTTTCCACAATAATTCTAACTCCTTCAAATGAACTTTTCTGAACAAAAAAGTTAACAGTTTAAATGAAAAATAAATCAATGATTTCATAAATAATACATTAAATAAAATACTTACACCTCCTTCGCCATAAATAAAAACATATTCAATTGTTGAATTTAATGAAAACATATAAGGATGAGAATAATTTGCAGCAATGATCACTGGTTTTAAGAGTAACGCCTTTGCATTACAACTTGCAGTAAGAGTTAAAATAAAAAATACAGAAAGAAATTCTGAAATTTCTAGATATTTAATAGATTTTATATTTTTTTCTTTCATTTTGATGGGGAAAAAAATTGAGTACACAAACTTTAAGCAACAACAGTTTTATATTAACTAAATCATTAAAGGTTATATAAACATTAAACTATATGGCTAATGGTAAATTATCTTTGTAATTTGTTAAGCTTTTAAAACACTTTGTTAAAAATTAGGTTGAAATCTATGGTTATTTTTTCAAATAATATGCAGATAATATTTAACATTTCTAATATGATTATTTCTTTCATTAACGGTAGTTTTACTATAATTTCATGAAATTATCCATATTATAGTACAAATAATTTTGTTATTAAACACCATCCTAAGCCACATAAAAAATATAGCTAACTTATTAGAAAAAGTTATTAAAATATGTTAAATATACAGGCAATTATGCATTAGAAACTGAAAACATTTTTAGGTTGAGATTTTTCTTCATGTTGGTATTGATGATTAATATTTTTCAAACGTGTACCAAATCACGGACACATTTAAATAACAATAACCGTTAACATTTTATTCTACGTTTCATTTATTGTATCCTTTGGTTTTAAAAAATAAACTGAAACTTTGTTTTTTAAATCATATTATAAGATGGATAATATTTGAAGACTTTATAATGCGCATACAGATAATACAAGCGGTATTATGACATTATTAATTTATTGGCCTATTATTAATTCAATACAAACAAGCAGGAGAGAACACCGGATACCAAGGCGATGCTTTTCATTCCTCCGTAGTCATAATTAATGAACGTTAAGGAATGATCGAATTTTAATAATCATATGTACAAGACATGTAATTACAGAAAAATCCATGCATACACACAGCAATTATAGCACTTTATCAGAATAACCATAAAGAGATCGCGAACTCTTCAAGTTGAGAAATATTATAAATATGATATAAAATGAGTTTGTGATGCACATAAAGCAACTTTTACTAAAAATTAAAAAAATAAAATGATTAGTATATAATGATTGGTCTTTAAACAATGGCGGATATGATCTTCGGATAGGATCTCGAATATTCCTACTCCTAAGGAGTGAGATACTCCAGGAGTAGCGAATCACTTAATTGTTGTTTTCAAAATCCTCTGCCAAAAGAGACTGCAGCATGTTTTCTCTCTCTCTCTCTCTCTCTCTCTCTCTCTCTCTCTCTCTCTCCCTCCCTCTCTCTCTCTTCTTTATTGCCCTTCTCATTCTCGGTTGTCTTCTTTTGCTTCCGCTGGTTAACCAACTTGCTCCCGAGCGTCAAACTATCTCTCCGTCCTTTCCTTTTCCAATCTTTCCAAATTTTCTCTTACATAATTCGACTTATTATGCCTTTACAATCGTAAATATAATTATCTGTTATCGCCATTTCATATAATTATTTGACAAGGACATGTTAATGAATAGAACGAAAATGAATATAGTCATTTCGTGATAATAAATGATTATTCTTTATTTAAAATTGATTTTCACATCTATAATAAATGTCATAAAAGATTTAACACTTAAATGAAGATTTACTTGGTAATTATTATCTACATTTTTTGGACATGTAGATCTATTTATACCAATGATTGTTTTTCTATATAACAGTGGACCACCGCTATCTCCCTAAAAATAAATAAAGATATTATTAAATAACAGTATAATCATAGAATAAAATGTCTATGCACTTGAATATTGTGTTTGAAATGTGCAAAATTTGTAATCGCAAAATGCATTGTCGATATTTTATAGATAATTATAAAGTTTTATTAGCTTTTACGTTTTTTTTTATTTTTTTTTTTTTAAAGAGAAGTAACAATTTTGTTTTGTTTTTCTTACCTGTTTTCGTATTACAATCCTATTTTAAATTAAATTTTCAGTATAATAATGAGCCTATCCACATTTTGTTTAAAATTCCGGATTTATGAATTTTTTTAATTTACGTTTTATTTTTTTAAATTTACAATATAAATATTATGTCGATAGAAATAAATGTTTTAAAATGTTTTCACAATATCTTATGTTAATATAATCTTTTCATTTTTGTAGTTTTTTTTATAAATCATGTCTACGTGATTCGTTTCCTTTTTGAAAAATATTATTTAAAAACTCAACGTCCTATACTTTAAAGTTTTTTGTCAAAACAAAATTTTAATTTTACTTATTCTTGCGCAAGTTTGGGTATTGTGAAATAGTAAATATAAAGACTTTAGAAAATATGTTATTTTTAAAAATAAAATTATAACTCCGTTAACATCAATTCTATAATTTGTTGATTCGAATAAGATTAAGTTTAAATTCGAGTCTAGTTATTTTTATTGAAAACCATAGGAAAAAAAAAACAACAATTCGTGCAGTATCTCGGCAACTTTTAGACTTATTAATGACACGATAGACTATATAGTAAAGTTTTAATAGCAGAGTGCAATGAGAAACTGGTTTTATACATTTAAAAATTAAGTTCTTACGGGCTGCAACAATCCAAATGGGGTCACACTGGTGCATATGAATCTCGAATCTAATGGAACCAATTTTCCACTTGCCATCTGAATTTTATTTTCACAATTTGTTTTCGATAACACTTTAACATCAATTTTTTCCATATATCTTGGATTAAATCCATCGTTTGATTGACCCCATCCAGTTACTACGACATCATATCCAACAAAATCGGAATTCGATAAGGTTGAAACTGTGGCTGGAGTGATTCTGTGAGTAACCGCTTCATTCAACTGAAAGATGTTCGATTAATATTTCCTTTTAGCATTGATAACAGAATACTTATAACTATTTAAAAATAAAAACAGCTTTAAAAATATTTTATTAATCAATTGCTTTAACAGAGTTTTATATGTCAAGCTATCAAAACCCATCCTTTCGGTTTGATTAAACCAAGTATTATTAAAATTACATGTTCTGATAACACAGGACTGAAATTTTTACGATGTCGATAAGCTGTTGGTTGGTTTGTATTAATATGCGCTTCAAACACATATTTATCCGCGCGTTCGAGTGTTTCGGGCACAATAATACTCAATGAAGGAGAGATAAAGGAAGGTTTCCGCAAAAGGTTTCCGCAAAAGGTTCCGCAACTTCGAGAATTTACCCTTATAATGGCGATATCGTTCTCGCTATATTCCAAAGACATATGTCTTTGCTTTGCCCAAGTCTTATACGTTATCCACCAATTAATTTGGTGCTTCCTGCCACTCCTTAAGTCAATGGAATCCACGAGGACAAGAATGTCAGTTCTTTTTTCCCCTTTCAAGCAGTGTTCGGCAGTCAAAACATCTCGTGGTGAGATAAGAGCTCCAGTGCAGATATGATTTCTTTCAGCAGTAATATCGGCAGTGCTATTGCGCATTAATGATACAACAAAAGGAAATTCATTTGTCTTTACTTTCTCAACGTTTTGCCCAATCATGGGATTTCCATTTGCGAGTACGCATTGGACGCCTGAAATATATAACTTTTAATTTTAATGTACATTAGAGTTATAGAAATATTGGCGACTTACATAATATTATGTAATGTCCAAGAAAGAGATACGTATTCCCTAGCATCTTAAAGCCACTAAAATAACAAATTTATCCTAAATTAGCTCAGCATCTGCGGTATTATTTATTCAACTACTATCATGTTTTATGTTTTATGTCTTTGTCTAATTCTCTTACTCCGCTTATGATAAATTTCACAATTTAATTAACAAAATTGCTTTGAAGTTTTTAAATTCCAAATACACAATTGGACACTTTTGTTGGTAAACTCATTATTAACGAACGTCTTTGATTTACTATTATTAAAGATTGTTAAATAAAGAAATTATATACCCATTATCGCATAATCTAGATAGTAAATATCATTATTATATTGACTTAGTAAATAGTATCTTTAATTACACATATATATGCACACACATAAATATCAACTAACTAAAATCTTGTAGCGATATGTCTTTTTTTCAAGGTTGAAAACAAATTTTTTTTTTAAGGTTGAAAACAAATTTTTTTTTAAGGTTGAAAACATATTTTTTTTTAAGGTTGAAAACATATTTTTTTTATCAAGGTTGAAAATAACTTTTCACTTATTTAAATATCATATATCATATTATTTCAGTTATTACTACGAGTTCAGTGGGTTAAATGATATACATTTGTATTATAAGTGATCTAACGCTGTAGAATTGTCTGAAATGATATTAGCATATTTTTCATTCAAATGTAATAAAACGCATTAAATATAAATCTCATCGTATGAAGGAATTTTAATTAACGTATTTTTTAATATGAATTTAAAAATATTAATCTCAACCTTTAGTAAATATTTTGTCCGAATAGAATACAACAGAAAATTTTAAATTACGACTTATTTTGTAACATTTTGTAAAGGAAATGTTTTTAAATAACAAACATTGTCATATTATTGTAATAAATTTTTATTTAATTGAATAGCCGCATACTTGTCCTAGCATATATATTACGCCATACATTAAAACTCATATCGAGAAGTATTATAATGTAAACATTAAGGTAATGATTTTCTTTCTTTCATAATTTCCATTGTTACGTTTAATAATAAATATCGGAATATCTACCCCATAAAAACGATTAAGTATATACAAGCAAAAACTAAATTCTATTTTATATTAGATTCGAAAGTTAATCAATAAAATATTTGATTATAGAATATTTTGAAATATTGATGGTTTTAATAAATCGTTAAATTATAGATCTAATTTAAAGTTAGTGCAATGTTATATTTATTATAAATATTTTTATCAATAGATTTCTTACTAAAAATAATGTCAGTACGATGCAATATTATAAAATGATTTTACGATCTTTTAAATGAAAGTTTTTACATTGATATATATTATATTTATAATAATTTTGGATTTTTTAAATTTCACGGATAATAAAAAATATTAAAAATTCAGAAAATGATATCGGTATAATTTTTACATGTATTGGACTCAAATATAAATAATGAAATTTTTTACATTGATATATATTATATTTATAATAATTTTGGATTTTTTAAATTTCACGGATAATAAAAAATATTAAAAATTCAGAAAATGATATCGGTATAATTTTTACATGTATTGGACTCAAATATAAATAATGAAATTTTTTACATTGATATATATTATATTTATAATAATTTTGGATTTTTTAAATTTCACGGATAATAAAAAATATTAAAAATTCAGAAAATGACATCGGTATAATTTTTACATGTATCAGACTCAAATATAAATAATGAAATTTTTAATGAATAACTTCAATGAATAAGAGCATTATATTTACGACAATTATGTATATTTTAATAAAACTTCAATAAATACAAATAAATTGTAAGCATAATTATTATATAATGCTTTATAAACTTGACATAACTTGCATTTAATTTTTTTTTTTTTTTAATGATGTTTTTATCATTTAGTTCCAAATGAAAGTACTTCTTACAACATCCCTAATGAAGAATCTGTAATAATCAATACTGAGATGTATGTTAATATTATGTGGATTAAGATCTTCAATCGGAAATGGACGAGTGCCTTTGTTGATGCCTACAATCATGCGTAGATACATAAGTGGACCACCCAAATCACCCTAAAAAGTAATATACACGTAAATACATTTAATAATTTTATAAATATAATCATAAACGATGTAAAAATCAATATAATCCAAGCAGCGGGTTAAGCAGTCATTTTAAGGGCAATAATTATTATATTAAATACGTATATATCAATATAACGATTTTGCAACTTCGCATATAATTTGTTATTAGAATTAAACAAAATTAATGATGGAATTTTGTCGTTAGATATGAAAAAATCGTAAATATACTTATTTTTAAATGTGAAAGAATAATTATTATTAACTTAAAAATATCCATTAAATAGTAAAAATTTATAATTATAGTATCAATGAAAAATAAAACTTTCCCTTTCACTGATGTAAATATTTATTGTAAATCAGATATATTATTTATAATAATTGTACGAAAGTTTTCAGTTGAGAATCAAACATTAAAATTAAAAGTTTAATTAATATAAAGAATGTTTCAAATTATTTTTATAATTTTTCATACAATAAATTTTATAAAAATATACTTTTCTTCATAATAACAAATGTTGAAGAGAAGTAATACATAATCACACATATTATGTATTTATCAGATATTTTTCTTGAAAAAGTGAATGAAAATTGTGTAATTATAAGGTTATAAACATTGATAATTAACATGTAAAATATTTATTATTTATGAAATTTTATATTACAAATAATATGTATAATAACATAAATTTAGAAAAATTATAAATTGTATTCTTCTTAATCATTAAAATGTATAAATATGACAGCAAAGAACCGTATAAATGTAAGTCATATTACGTCAAAGGGAGTATACTTACGTGATGCATAATTACAGGAGGTTCACCAACAGTACACAAATATTTATTGTCAAGAATATATCGATATCCTAATATTATTGTTAAAGATTCTTCACATACGGCATGTGATAGGATTTTCAAATTCGCCGTTAACAAATGAGGTAGTATAACATTGCGATTTGCTAGGCCCCATCCGGCTAACGAAACATCCGATCTTTGTAAAAGTTCACTTGTAAGAGATGAAATGATTCCAGGCGCAATGTCTGCATGTACCGGTTGATATAACTACATAAAATATTTTGTAATAAAACATTTTAAATATAAAGTATAGTGATTTTATTAATTTATTACTAAAAAAACGATTACTATTTAATTATTTAAAAATCGTACGAATAGGAATAAGGATCTTTAATGGATTTTCAAATTAGGTATGAAAATCTTTTTAACAATATATTATGCAATATTTTTATTAAAAAATACTCTACCTTTGTTACACTAATATCATTATCTTCTGAAACAATAGGTCGTCGTCTGAAATGAGCCCACTCATCATGAGTTATCCACCACAATATGGTGTGCAAATTACCAGTTCTCAAATCAGTTGATCCAACGACAACGTTCGTTTCATTTTTTAATCTGTTCTCAATGCACGTTGCTGAACCAACAACTAATGATCTTGTAATAAGAGATGCGGTACACAGGTGATTATTAACAGCTACAGGATTTCTTAGATTAATGTGCCTAAAAGCTACAATAAACGGAAATACTCCGGTTTCTGCGCGTTCAACAGTCTGACCCAATAAAGCCTTAACAGTGGGGAAGTTAGATAATGTACCTAAAAAATAATAATTTATCCATTAGATTAATCGTCCGACTACATTTAAAAATTTCATATTTAAAATATTTCTATTATTTATTCGATCTTACAAATTATTGCACATACGCCAAGAAGCCAAAATATGTTGAACTTCATGCTAAAGCGAAAAATTAAGGATATTTACAAATTAATGTTGAATATTATAACAATTTATTAAAAATTAACCGTTAAGCTATTGCATAAATAACAAATTTATATTTTATATAAATAGATGTTTAAAATATTATTTAATAATAAGAAGGCTTATATATTAATTGTTAAAATGATTAAATAAAGGCAATTTGCTATATTTGAAAGTAAAAAATCAAAATATTTAAATTATCAAGTTTTGATATTATTACAAATTTTTTTCAACTTTAAAAGCTTCCTCGATTATATTTTAACAGCTAATTAAACAGAAAGATTTACTTTTCCAAATTAAGTAAGTAGTGGTCGATAAATTACGAATTAACTGAATTTTTACAAATTAGTTATATATAATGCACAAATATTTCAAATTGTTGATAAATAATAAATTTTAATTAAAAATTATATCCAAACATAATCTGTATTAAGTACAAAAACTAAAATAAATCCAAATTTAATAATCTTTATTTTTATCTGTCTCGCAGTGTATTCAGTGATAATATTAAAAAAAAAAAAATAAATATGATAGAGACACAAGTATTATAAAGTATTATGAGAATAAACTATTAATGAAGTGCTAAATATTATTTCAATTTGAATATATTTTTAAATTGATAACATTCTAAAATCATAAAGTCAATATTTCCACATAAGCAGGATTTATTCTTTACTATAAGATTTTTTATGACGATTTATGAACATATTAAATCTTTAAAAATGGCATTTTAACATTTAAATATTTTTCAAATATTATTTTTATTTGATTTAAACAGTAGATAAAAATGGGTTAAAAATTGAAACTAAATTCGGCTTAGTTATATAAATATATGTTAGTTAACTATTAGTTATTATTCTAATGTTTACTGTAGCTCCGAAATCTAATTGAATAATAAGATTGTAACTTTTAAATTACAATCTTGGAATATCCAATAGACTATTTCTCATTAGAATAATAATACAGAATTTTCAATAGTAAATACAAAGTTAATTTTGCAATATTACACATTTTAAACAATTTAAAGAAAAAATTTGAATTTGAACTTGAACTTGAGAAGCTAAGCTCCATTATACATTGAATATCGAACTTATCCTGTGTAAATGAAAATTTTGTTCTTTACAATTAGGAGTATGTGAACATCAGGTTAGCATTCGTCTGCCAAGAGAAATTCTTTTCGATATTTTCTTAAATAGTCGATTATTATTCGTTTAAAAGACAATTACGAAATCTTTTTGTCAATTCTCTTTTACATATTAAATGATGATGAAATAATATTTCAATTTCATTATCCACTAAGGGATCAATTAATTCTGTCAATAGATAAAGATGATCGTATCTACGGTCTACGGCTTCATATTCTGAATAAATTATTGTCTTCGACAACAAACAAAATCGAAAAAACGCACCGTGAAAATCTCTGCGATATTATATATATATATTTGTTCGTAATGCAAACATATTTTTTATAAAATATGACATAATGCAATAATGTTAATGGGAAAAATTTTTATTTGACAGATTACCATTTCTTAAAAGTAATTATTTATTTATAATAAATACTATTATTTAAATAAAACATATATTTTCTTTTAGATATATTACAATCGAATTTGTTCTTAATTATTATTTTTAATTAATCTAATATTTATATTTTTTATATATTATTATTCATACTAAGTTGAAAACATTAAGGCATTAATAGACTGCTTGTATAATTTCAATATTTGTATATGATTACTTTCTCGAAATACGTATAGATAATAGGATTATATTAATTTTTTTACAAAAACAGTGAAGTTAATGTAACAATGCTATAAGATAAATTACAAAATTCATTGTATATGATGAAAATTAAAATGAAATCTGAAATTCTATTTTACGTACATTTAATACTAAAATTCAATTGATATACGATCAATTACTTTATGATTACATTGTTGATTAGATCAAAACAAAATAATCATTTTACGTGTTTGTAATATAATTTGATAAATTTTTATAATAATTAGTTGCGTTCATTATGCACTCCGTGAAAAGTAGAAGTGCTTGTTTTTTTAATATTAAAATTAATAATATGCTGTGTCGAGTAGTTGACCTAATAGTCAATACTTATAGTTATAATTTTTTTCATTAACAAACTTCTGGTTATATTATAAACATCTTTTTGTTATATATATATATATATATATATCTGTGCTATTATACAAAAAATAAAACCATTATTATTCTCCTACTAAAAACTAAAAAATTTTCAAATAATGTTATGAAAATTACAAAGTATTATTTAATTTGTTGATTTTAAATATAATCTCATATAACACATCTTTATTTAAAAAAGTAAGATAAATAAATAAATAAATAAATATATATATATATATATATATAAACAAATCTGTATATGTATATATTTAAAAATGTAGTGGAATTTAGCATATATTTAGCAATTATCATTATTTATATTGTTGATACTATATCCTTAAACATAACATTATACTCATTTTTTTAAGAAATAACAATGTATGTGTGTATATATGTATACCTTTATCTTAATATGATAAGATATATATGTTTAAATTATTTTTCAATATGATCATTATAGATCTTAATAGAAATTTCCCTTAATTCCAGATAGTACTAACTTAATAATTGATAAACTATGCCTTTTTGAAATGACAAATATATATTTATGTCGATGAATTACTTTGCATGACTTTTTTTAGCACAGATTGTTTATAAGGCACTTACATTTTTTATTTGTTAATTGCATTTAATTTTCAATATTATTCACAAAGACATCTGTACGTACATTAATTTATTCTTATGAATATTTATTTATTCTAAAATTAATTATTCTATAATGTATAACGATAATAAATTGTTAGTACAACTAATTGCGTATCAGGGAAGCCGTCGTTTGAATCATAATACAAAGCCAATAATTAAATGGTTAAATTAAGGCTAATTGAATACAATTATATATAGTTGATATATACACGTCAGATTGTTTAACTGGCTACATAAATAATATTAGTATAAAATTACATTCTATATTTAAAATCAACTGAGATGACTTTAATTATTTTACTATGCCCTTAACATTTAATCCCAATAAAAATTATGGCTTATAATTTCTGTAATAAATGGCCTGTAATAATTAATAGCTGTATGGACATTAACGATTCTTGAAGGATTGTTTTCCGTATTTGGAATAATTTGTTTATTGATTCCTACAATCTTATTATTGTGAAAAACTGGTCCACCAATATCTCCCTGCAATATATTATAAAATAGGTTAATAAATGGGCAAATCGTAAAATATGAAATTATTTATCGTAGAATATATTATTATTATTAGAATAATGAAAATATTTCAATTGTCAAGTTTACATTGTTAACTCATTCGGATTTTAATATTAATTATCAATATTGACAATGAATTGGAATATTGGAGAATATTGTAAAATGATATTATTATTTAAATTCTAAGTATAATCCATTTTTTGTGATCAATATTATTCTGATATCAATATAATTCTAAAATTCATATGTTAAATTATCTTTTATCAGGAAACATGAATACGTACATTTTGTATTAAAGTGTAAGGAACTCCGTATGTGCAGAAGAGTCCGTGATGTATAATAACCGTCTGCCTAGTTGTTTCGTAGATTTTATCAGCACACTCAGAATTCGATATAACTGTTGTAATAGATGTTTGCATATTAGGAGTTACAACACGACGTCTGGATATACCCCATCCTGCCAACGTAACTTGTTCATTTACCAATTCATTATTTGGTATATAGGATATCGTCACTGGTACAAAATTTGCGTCCATTTCTTGGGTTAACTAAAGAAAATGTTTTTATATATAGTATAGTGTAATAATTGTTACCCATTTTATTTGTCTTATAAGTTAATTATTCTACTTTATTTATATTATAATCTTAGAAAACTGAATAAGGAATATTTTGGAAAAGAATGCTGGTTTGTATGATGCCATATATACAGTTAATGTACTTTCGAAAGGTAATTTACCTTTATAATACAAATATCATTATTTCTAAATTCCAAAGGTCTGTTATGACGATTGCTCCAGTCACTAAATTTTACCCACCAATGTATACTATGCGCTCTAGTGAATATAATTGCATTTGATCCATAGAGGACAACAGTATTGTTAGTTTGTCTGCCGTATAGACATTGTTCTGCACTAATAACATGACTTCTAGTGATAAGTGCCGCAGTACAGAGGTGGCTGCCTAAGCTCCTACGACGTGTTTCAGTAGTCCGTGCAATTGATACAACAAAGTTAAAATTTTGATTATTTACTTCATGAACATTGGGTCCAAGTAAGGCATTTACCGTCAGAGAGGAATGTTGCGCATCTACAAAATAATAATTATTTAAATAAGGAAATTGTACTATTAAAGTTATTTTTCAGATGTTTATATTATAAAGTAATTCTTACAGATTATTGTATATATACCAAGAAGTAAAAATATGTTGATTTCCATACTGTAAATAATGAATTAACGATATTCCAGGAATCGTCGTTGAGTATTTGTAAACATGTAATTGTTGAACTTTTATTTATTTTTTTATATATATATATATATATATATATTTAATAAAAGTATTTATGTAATTTCATTTATATCTAACCTGAAGTACGACGTTAAGAACTTATGGCTTATATATCAAGTGTTATAAGTATTTTAGTTAAATTTGTCATTGTAACATAAAAATGAGTATATTCAAATATCAAAATTTGCTATAATAAAAAGAATTTATTCCATCCTTTTAGAAAAGCCCGTAAAGTTTCCTTATTTATTCGAATTCTATTTGCTATACAGTAATCAAAAACGAGTATTTACAATTCAAACTCAAACAAGTAATGGCTGTTGAATTACAGATAAATTCAATACATACTAATTAGTTATATATGATACAAAAATATATAATATTGATGGTTAATTGTAAATTTAAAAGTATGATGTTACTACATTTGTGATAAAATAATTATTTTTTAAGACGAGCTCTTTTAAATGTATAAAGTACAATAAATTATAATTTATTAGTTTTTTTATTTTTTATCTTTCTTCGTTGTTTATCGAATAATAATAATTCAATCAAAATATTTAATTTGACAGGAACATAAGTATTATCAAATATAAAATACTAGTCATAAAATAAATAGTTGGATAAAAATATTATTTCCATTTTAATTTAACCTAAAATTGATAAAGCTCAAACATTATAAATTCAATATTGCTATGAAAATTGATTTATGGATTCGGGTAAGAAACTAGCTTTTGAGTTACACTATGTAAAATACTTATTTTTACTTCATTTAACATTGAATTAAAAAAAATGTATTATAAAATATCATAGTTTTTAAAATTTATTCGAGTTTTTAATTCGAATATTGAAACTCTACGTTTAGTTTACTTACATATGAATTAATTATATAATTATTTAAAGCTTAATAAGAATATATATATATATATATATATATATGTGTGTGTTAGTATTACAAGATTTAGGTATAATATTTATTTTTAAATTAAGTAACTCTATAATGTAGCAATACTTGTATTGTAATTTTTTTTAGTTACATTACCCAATAAACTATTTCTCATCCCAATAATACAAAAATAATACAATATTTGCATTAATAAAATGTAGAATAAATTTTATAATTTAATCACATATTCAACAATTCATATTGCTAATCTTATCTTTACCTAAAATAAAACGATTTCAACATGGATTTTTAAGTATTTCTTAAAATACCGACAGCTAAAACATCAATATTAAAAACATATTACACGAATATTGAATTATGTATTCATTAATCATTAAAAAACTATAACATATATAAGATATTGAAAATTTTTCAAACCTGTAGTTATTACAATTAATTATTCACAATGCTGTCGTTAGAATTATTTGTACGGATGATTGAAAAACTATTACGGTGACTATTTCGAGAAATCAATTATTCTCCAAATTCTTGTTTTATAGTAATACTATATAAAACATTATACATACGGATGGCCGCAATTAATCAAGTTACCCAAGCAAAATAAAGACACGTCGAATAATACATTTTATGAAGCATATAAATGATAAAAAAATGATTGTATTTTTTTATTATATAGTGTTCATTATTTAGTGTATATATATACATTCGTATGACGCAATAATAAAAAGTTTATTATACTGAATAATGACTGTTGATTGTTTATATTTGGAATTCATTATATGTAATAATTATATTTAATATATATACAAATATTATATATATATATATATATTTTATATATTATATTATTATTATTATTATTATTATTATTATTATTATATATATATATGTGCATGTACAAAAATTAATTATATTTAAAAATTATTACATATTATGAATTCTAAATAAAAACAATCAACAGTCATTATTCAGTATAATAAATTTTTTATTATTACATCATAAGAGCATAAATATAAAATATTTCTTCATATGTGTGAATGTGTTCATCCTAGAAATCATTTAATATTTGCATTTAAATCGTTCACATTATCTGACATGAATTATTTAGATATTTCATATGATCGGTCCTTACAAAATCTATCTTAAAAAATAATAATTTGAAGATAGTGTAAAAAAATTATTATTATATAATTAGAATTTTTTACTACCATTTTATAATTAATAAAATAGTATAACAAGACCTTGACCTATTAATAAATAATTACTTTTTATTCAATTTTATTCATGAATAATTTTCGTTTTCCCATTTTAATTTTAGGATACTCGGAATTTCGGTTATAAAAGTGGGCGTGGTTATTATTTATCTCGGAAAATATTAAACAATCAATACGTGAAACTAATAAAATTTATTAACCATGTTTTTCGTGTTGAAACTCTCTTAAATATATCAAATTTATAATACATTAACATCTTAAATTATATATGTAATTATACAAGTTTATATTAATAAAAATATCAGATAACATAGAATTATATAAATAGGTACATAAATATGTAGATATATATATATATATAAACAAATCTGTATATGTATATATTTAAAAATGTAGTGGAATTTAGCATATATTTAGCAATTATCATTATTTATATTGTTGATACTATATCCTTAAACATAACATTATACTCATTTTTTTAAGAAATAACAATGTATGTGTGTATATATGTATACCTTTATCTTAATATGATAAGATATATATGTTTAAATTATTTTTCAATATGATCATTATAGATCTTAATAGAAATTTCCCTTAATTCCAGATAGTACTAACTTAATAATTGATAAACTATGCCTTTTTGAAATGACAAATATATATTTATGTCGATGAATTACTTTGCATGACTTTTTTTAGCACAGATTGTTTATAAGGCACTTACATTTTTTATTTGTTAATTGCATTTAATTTTCAATATTATTCACAAAGACATCTGTACGTACATTAATTTATTCTTATGAATATTTATTTATTCTAAAATTAATTATTCTATAATGTATAACGATAATAAATTGTTAGTACAACTAATTGCGTATCAGGGAAGCCGTCGTTTGAATCATAATACAAAGCCAATAATTAAATGGTTAAATTAAGGCTAATTGAATACAATTATATATAGTTGATATATACACGTCAGATTGTTTAACTGGCTACATAAATAATATTAGTATAAAATTACATTCTATATTTAAAATCAACTGAGATGACTTTAATTATTTTACTATGCCCTTAATATTTAATCCCAATAAAAATTATCGCTTATAACTTCCATAATAAAGGGCCTGTAATAATTAATAGATGAATGAACACAAACTTTGTTCGGATGAAATTCACTTGACGTGAATGGAAGTGTGTGTTTATTGATTCCTACAATCTTATTATTGTGAAAAACTGGTCCACCAATATCTCCCTGCAATATATTATAAAATAGGTTAATAAATGGGCAAATCGTAAAATATGAAATTATTTATCGTAGAATATATTATTATTATTAGAATAATGAAAATATTTCAATTGTCAAGTTTACATTGTTAACTCATTCGGATTTTAATATTAATTATCAATATTGATAATGAATTGGAATATTGGAGAATATTGAAAAATGATATTATTATTTAAATTCTAAGTATAATCCATTTTTTGTGATCAATATTATTCTGATATCAATATAATTCTAAAATTCATATGTAAAATTATCTTTTATCAGGAAACATGAATACGTACATTTTGTATTAAAGTGTAAGGAACTCCGTATGTGCAGAAGAGTCCGTGATGTATAATAACTCTTCGTCTATTTAATTGTGTAATTCTATCTTCACACTCAGGATTCGATATAATTTTTGTAATAGATGTTTGCATATTAGGAGTTACAACACGACGTCTGGATATACCCCATCCTGCCAACGTAACTTGTTCATTTACCAATTCATGATATGGTACGAAGGATAACTCCGATGGTTGAAAATTTGCTTGGATTGGTTCAGTCAACTACACAAAGTTTGTTTTCAATATGAGGTAAAGATTATGTGCCATTTTATTTTGACGATATATTAATTATTCATTTTTATATGCATTTATATTTTATGAAAATGAATAAGGACTATAATAGAATTCAGCGTAATAGAATGTAGCATAATTAATTATTAATAATAGGATAGAAATTGTATATTTTTAATAAGTAATTTACCTTTATAATGGCAATATCATTTTCTAAAAATTCAGGACGTCTAGTATTGTACACGCTCCAGTCCTGGAATTTTATCCACCATCGTATTGAATACGCTCTAGTGAAAATTAGCGCAGTCGAGCCATAAAGAATAACTGTATTGTTATATAGTCTCTCATAAAGACAGTGTGCTGAACCAAGAATGTGAGATTTAGTGATAGCCGTTGCAGTACATATATGATCATTTATGTTTGCCCGATTTGACGAGCTTGTTTTCGCTATTGATACAACAGAAGGAAATTCACCAAGTTCTGCATGTCGAACATTTGGACCAAGCAAGGGATTTGCAGTCGTAAAGTTGCATTGTGTACCTTAAAATAATCATAATTATTTAATTCCAAAATTACAACACCAAACTCATTATTAAACCAATGGTATTATAATTCATTCTTACAGATTATTGTACATACGGCAAGAAGTAAAAATACTTTAAATTCCATACTAAAAAAAAAAAAAAATAACTCATGAGATATAATAGTAATGTTAAATAATTGTGAGATATGTGAAAGGTTTAATGTTGTGTATATTCATTGTACATTTAATAAAAATATTTGTTTGTCATTTAAGTATAGGTCTAACCTAAAGTATTAGTAAGAAAATATGAAGTATGAATCAATGGTTATAACTGTTTTAATTTACATTTTACTATGAAAATATGAATATTCAAATATTCAAATATAATATAATATACTATAAAAAATTTATTTCAATATTATGACACATTTTGAAAGCTTTTTTATTTGTACGAAGTAATTCATATTGGTATATATTAATAATATAAGAATGTTTACCTTTGAAATAGAAGCAAGTAATTACCGATGAATTAAAAATGAATTAAACTTTTGCAAATTAATTATATATTGTATAAATATATAATAAATAGCTGATTAATTGTATGTTTTATTATGAGGTACGTTGATATTATCTTTCTTCTTAAACGAGAATAATATTTATATATGAACAATATTGAATATTAAATTGAAAATTAATCCTTATATATACATATATATATATATATATATATATATATATATCTGTTTCCATACTTTACTCAAACTAAATAAAGTAAAAAAAAAATTCACGAAAAAAATTAATTATTGTTAATAGTAAGGCTAAAGTTGTATAAAAAGATTATGATAATTTAAAGTTTTCTGAAAACTGATAATGTTTTAGCATCTAAAAGTCAATATTACTACACACTTCAATGTAAGTTTATTATAAAATGTTTACATTGTGGCGTATAAAAATATTTTTTTTTCTTATTTTATCATTAAATTACAAAATTGCATTATAAAAACAAACAGGTATCGAGTTTAAACAAATTATTGATATAAGCTATAGTTATATCTGCGTTTAAAAATTAAAACTGTACAATCAGCTTGGTTATATCAACAGTAAAACGAACATTACTAAGTCCATGTGAATATACATTAGTCTACCGTTTGATTTGCTTGTACTGTTTGCTTAAAAATCGTGTAACTCCGAATGTAATTCAACAATTAGTCTGCAACTTTATTTTTATAATGTTGGATTACCCAATGGACTATTTCTCATCAGAATTATAATATAGTATTAGCCTTAATAGAGTATATCATTAAAGTTACGATTTCAAACATATTAAATATTTTCACAAATTAAAAGAAAAAATTAACATGTACTCTATAGTTTGTTCGATACACTCGTTTTATCATTGCCGAAGTTTAAATGACTTGAGCTTGTGAAGTTTAGCTCCATTATAAATATCGAACTTATTCTGTGCTTAACTCAAATCAAAGTCTTTTTATGTAAATAAAATTTTGTTCTCATCCTCTGATCTTTTTCTGTGACTAGCTACTCTGCATCTTAGAGTTCGATTACATAATTGAAATTTGTTCTTTACAATTAGGAGTATGAGAACATCGGGTTAGCATTGGTCTGCCAAAAGAAATTCTTTTCCATATTTTCATAAATAGTCGATTATTATTCGTTTAAAGGACAATTACGAAATCTTTTTTTCAATTTTCTTTTACATATTAAGAGATGATGAAATAATATTTCAATTTCATTATCGACTAAGGGATCTAGTAATTTTGTCAATACATAAAGATGATTGCATCGTCGTCTACGACTTAATATTCTGAATAAATTATTTTCTTAACAAAACAGTCACATATATCTAGTATATATAGAACAATATAGTACTCTACTACTAATTAGCATAGACACGTTACTAATATTATGTTTAAAAAAATAATTTCAGAATTAATAATATTTTTTAATTCAGATATCTATCATGTTTCAGATAAATTTTTAGCAAATTTAATTTTATATAATAAAATGACTTGTATATTTATGTGGAACAGAGGTAGGTTCTATAACTTTTAGACATGATACTTGTATGTATAAATATTACAGATTTATGTTAATGATCTTATGTTCTTATTTTATATTATTATGATATTAATTTTTTTTTCTTCTTCATAATTTTACTTTTAATAGTAGAAAAATTCTTTCCATGAATTATATTCATTTATGGTGAGTTAAATTTGTTAAAGTATTATTTATTTTAAATACTTATAAATACAATATTATATAATTTTTAATTGTTTTTAGCTATTGATACAAATTTAAAATTACTATATATTTAATAGATTATAGAGATTATTATATTGATATTTTAATTTTTATTATTACATGCAACTAATAATATGTCTCAAATATAAACATAAAATTGTATTCTTCTACTCCCAAATTTAACTCATATTTGTCTATTTATTCTATGAACTAAATATATTATAATACCAAAACATTATTGGATTAATATTCTAATATAATTAATTTCTATGCAATTATTCAGTGATGCCATTATTATTATTCATTGCCAAAAAAAATTGTCGCTTATGACGTCTGCAATGAAACTTGTATAATAATTAATACTGGTATGAATGTTAATTTTATGGTTGTCAAATTCTTGCAATCCTTTTGGAAGTGTTCCTTTATTGATTCCTATAATTTTATGAAAGTGCAAAACCGGTCCGCCAAAGTCTCCCTGAAATATAATAAAATATTATAATGGTATTATAATTTTCTATACAAATAATTTGAATCAATTGAATTTAATTAAATGTTCACTTACATATTGCATTGACACAAAAGGTACTCCAGCAGTACAAAAGTATCCCTCACGAATAGAAATTCTTTCTCCACTTACACGGTGAATGTGATATTCGCACGCAGTGTGTGATACGATTATTGCTGTGGCTGTCAGCATGTTTGAAGATAATTCTCCTTGATTATTTAAACCCCATCCTGCCAATTCAATATGCTGTTCTACTAAATCATCGTACGAAAATAATGATAAACTCGCTGTTGGGAAATTTCCCTGTATTTCATGGGTTAGCTAGACAAATTTGTTTACAATATAAAGACAAAATTTTAAATGCATTTTATTAATTTAGAAAATAAATTATATTTGTTTATCAGTTTCATAATTCTATCTAATTAATAATTATTCTCGTGCAATACTGTATATTCTTTCGATAATGTTTATTTAATTATTATACGTAATATTTTAATATAAATTATATATCTTTAATGAGTTGTGTACCTTCGTAACACTAATGTCATTATCATTATGTTCAAGAGGTCTATTCGTATAAAAGCTCCACTCGTTAAAAGTTATCCACCATTCAATAGTGTATTCTCGAGAATCATGTAAAGAATTTGACCCATGGAGGATAACAGTATTGTTTGGTAATCTATTGTTAAAACATCGTGCTCCACTTAGAACATGAATTGTTGATATCATCGCTCCAGTGCATATATGATCGCTTGTAAGTATAACATCTTCAAAATTAATTCGTTTTATAGATACAATAAAAGGAAACTCTCTTTCGCGTGCCACGCGAACATGTGGTCCAATCAACGCATTAATAGTCAGAAAGTTACATTGTGTACCTAAAAAATAATAATTATTTCATTAGAAATATTTTACGATATTTGTATTATTTTCCCGTTCTTACTTATTATTGTAATCACGCCAAGAAGAGAAAATATGCTGTACTCCATGCTGGAAATAAATAATCAATGAGATATAATAATAATATTGAATCATTTTTAAACATATACAAGTTTAATCTTGGATAAATTAAATAAATGTATTTGAATATCATTTTATTTAACTACGTATTTAACTTAAAAGTATAACTTTGCAAACATATGGCTTATATGTCAATCTTTACAACAATTTCACATAAATTATTTATATTTTAACCTATATAACTATAAAAACTATAAAATAATAAAAATAAAAGAAAACTATAAATTAAAATATTAAAAATTAAACATATAAAAATTATAGCCAAATTATTACAATATTAAAAGTAAACAAAAAATTTGTGAATACGAACATTATTAAAGATAAAAATATAACAAATTAATTACGCGATAAAATTGGAAACGTTCTAACATCAAATAGGCGATATTGCCACGAAATTGAATTTATGTTTGCTATAAAATGTTTACATTGTCATTTAGGAAAATATTAATTTTTTTAGTTTTATTATTAAATTAAAAAAAAATTGAATTGTAAAAACACATCATTTTCAAGTTTAAATTAATTATTGACTTAAATTGTAGATATATTTGCATTTGAAAATTAAAACTGTACAATCAGCTTGGTTATATCAACAGTAAAACGAACATTACTAAGTCCATGTGAATATACATTAGTCTACCGTTTGATTTGCTTGTACTGTTTGCTTAAAAATCGTGTAACTCCGAATGTAATTCAACAATTAGTCTGCAACTTTATTTTTATAATGTTGGATTACCCAATGGACTATTTCTCATCAGAATTATAATATAGTATTAGCCTTAATAGAGTATATCATTAAAGTTACGATTTCAAACATATTAAATATTTTCACAAATTAAAAGAAAAAATTAACATGTACTCTATAGTTTGTTCGATACACTCGTTTTATCATTGCCGAAGTTTAAATGACTTGAGCTTGTGAAGTTTAGCTCCATTATAAATATCGAACTTATTCTGTGCTTAACTCAAATCAAAGTCTTTTTATGTAAATAAAATTTTGTTCTCATCCTCTGATCTTTTTCTGTGACTAGCTACTCTGCATCTTAGAGTTCGATTACATAATTGAAATTTGTTCTTTACAATTAGGAGTATGAGAACATCGGGTTAGCATTGGTCTGCCAAAAGAAATTCTTTTCCATATTTTCATAAATAGTCGATTATTATTCGTTTAAAGGACAATTACGAAATCTTTTTTTCAATTTTCTTTTACATATTAAGAGATGATGAAATAATATTTCAATTTCATTATCGACTAAGGGATCTCGTAATTTTGTCAATAGATATGCGATCTAGGACTTAATATTCTGAATAAACTGTTGTAAACAGAAAAAAATCTTAAAACGCAACTTGAAAATAAAACTATTGTTATATTTATTTGTAATCCAATCATATTTTTTTTATAAAATATATCGTAACTTGAAAATATTTATGATTTAATCTTTATACTTACTAATAATACTAATTTTTCTTAATTATTCATCAACAAATAATAATTTTTAATAGAAGTTTATACGGACTTTAGAAGAAATTTCTATCACATTTGGTTTTTTATAAAAAAACCATTTACGTATATAAGTGGGATAAAAGAAATTTGTATTACTTCTCATTATTATAATTACATGTATAAATATCACATTTAATATTCCTTTATGATATAAGCAAATTATTTCCATGAATTTCTTAATTTGATGTACTTATAATTACCTAATTCTTTTGCATATTATATATTCAGGTTTTAACAAGTTTTTATTTATTTTAGTCTAATAAAAATTAACGAGAATACAAATGTTTAAAAATCATTTTACATATTGAATGAATAACAGAACTTATTATGTTTAGAATAAAGTTATTATACATTTATTTTAGTATCATTAGAAAAAATTATGTATTTTATATCATTATAGAGATAATACTATTTTGTTCACTTATTTTTATTGAAAAGTAGTGAGAACTCGCATTATCTGAATATATTTGATAGATGACACTGATTATCAATTTTGTATTTTACTTTTTAATTTCATTTAACTGGAATTTAAATTTAAACGGTATATGACATGTGACGATTCAACTTATGTATATGTGATGTAATCGCCTTTAAAAATATTATTCATTGCAAAATAAAATGGTCGCTTATGACGTCTGTAATAAACTCTCTGTAGTACTGAATACTTGAGTGAACGTTTACTTTGAAATCGTTATACTCATTTGCTAAATCTGGACGTATTTCTTTGTTGATTCCAATAATTCTATTGTAATATAAAACTGGCCCACCAAAATCTCCCTGAAGCATAAGAAAATACAGCTATTATCAGTGTGTCAAAAACGAATAATCAGCCTTGAATAAATTTAATTATTTAGATATAAGAATATTATATCTATCGACTATAGAACATTAAAAATTGTTTATGTATTAATTTCAGTTCATTTTAACAGAGTAAATATAAATATCTACCTCAATCTATAAAATCTAAAAATAATTAATATTCTTTAAGTGACGCATACTTACACGCTTAAGTAATGTAAAAGGTGAATTGTGAGTACAGAAGTGTCTTGCATGAATTACATTTCTTTCTCCACTTATTTGTAAAATTTTATTTTCACATTGTTCGTTAAGTAAGATTTGGGCAGAGCCTAATAATATATATTTTGATAACTGACGCCGATTATTTACACCCCATCCTGCCAACCTAATATATTTATCAGCTATACTATAGCTTGCCATTAATGATAACTGCGCAGGTTGAAATTGCATTACTATCGATTGTGTCAACTGTAAAAATGTTATTTTATTGTAATATAAACTTGATAATAAAATAATAATTTAATTTTCATTGCTTAATTATATAGAAAGAATAAGAATTACAATGTAATTCAATAGTTACAGTACTTATAACATGCAGATTAATGTTGCAATTAAAAATTTACTTTTTAAATACCTAATTACCTTTGTAACGCTAACATCATTATCAACAAATTCCAGAGGTCTATGCATATATAGAGACCACTGATTATAAGTAATCCACCACTGTATCCGATATTCTATACAATAGACTAATGAATTCGATCCATGGGCGATGACAGTTTGACTTATTAATCTGTTTTCAATACACTGAGCTGCACTGAGAACATGATTTCTAGTAATTAGCGATCCAGTGCAAATGTGATTTCGTGTAGGATGAGGATCTGTTAAATTAACATTTCTGAAAGCAGCAAGATAAAGTAACTCTCCAAACTGTGCTCTGCGAACTTCCGAACCAATCAATGCAGAAACAGTCGGAAAATTACATTGCGTACCTAAAAAACAATTGTAATTGACATTAAAATACTGCACCATTGAAATCACTTATAAACTGTTTCTATCATAGTTAATTCTTACAGATTATCGCACATACGGCAAGAAGTAAAAATTTGTCGAATTCCATGCTAAAATGGGAAATTTAATTAAATTAATAAAATGAACGTTGAATATATCTGATATATTGAAAAATTAAACTTTCAAATATATTTAATAAGAGTATTTATAAGTCATTTACATAAGCTTGTGTGAATTCTACAGTATAAATTCGAAAAAAAAATTGTTCGATTACCGATTGTCGTAACAATATCAGTTTCAATTTATTCTCTTTCAATGTAAAAATTGTAATATTGAAATATTATATTTGGATATAAAAATATTACCTTTACTCTAATTAAGTAATATTAATAATATATTATTTTAATGCGTAAGTTTACCTTTTCAATCGAAGAAATTTTTTACAAGAAAATTATAAATTACTTCAAAACATATTAAGTTTCTATTATAAACAAATATTTTGAATTATCAGTTATCGGTGCCAATATTTTCAAAATTCATTGACACGTGGTGACTATAATTGCTGTAAAAAAGAATTATTTTCTAATATGAATAAAAGTAATTTTTTTACAGTTTAATTCAGTTTATTCATTCTTTTTTTATCAATTTTCCTAGTGTATTCAATGATAAATATTTCAAAACAAATTGGAAATTTATTTCTAAGCGTTATCAAATATTTTATATGAGCCTTAAATTATCAAATAAGATGAAAATATTTTTTTGAGTTTCAAATTTATTCTCAATATGATATTGTTTAAATATGAAAAAGTCAATAGTGCTATTCAAAAGAATTTTTATATAACTTTAACGAGATTTTCATATCTCTATGTATGAAAAAACTAATTGTCTATTTTCATTTAATGTGCTCAATATACTGTAAAATTTAATAGATAAGAATTAGTAAACAAATTCGTGAAATTCTTAAATTTGAAAATTAAAAATGAAAATTCAATATCTCAGGTTGCATTTAACAGAACGAAGTCTAAAATCTTTAACTATTTATCAGTATTATTCATTTTTTTAATGAAATTAATATTTAATACTTAGTTTTACTATACTTCAGATAATCGTTAAATTGTTTCGCAATGTTTATATAGTCATTATGCGGGTTCGTGTTAATTATGCTGGAATTTATTCATTAAATTATAATGTAAAATAGATTATTTTTGATCTGACGAATAATGAGATGTATGCTTAACTATAATGAAGAATATGTTTTACAATTTAATCCCATACTCCATAGTTCTGTCGAGCCACTCATCTTATTTTCGCCTAAAGTTCAACGATTCTGGAATTGATTATAAAACATATTCTGATGAAGAAACCGTATTTATCTTATTTTTTTTTTTTTAAACGAACAAATATTTTCGTATATGAAAGGCATATGATTGATATATGATTGCCCTCACTCCTGTGGATTAAAAATATGAAAATATATGTTTATGTGATTTTCCTTTCAGATTATGATTTGCTGTTAATGTATGTTATAGTATAACCATTGTG